GGATTCACACATGGTTTCCTGATCTAAACCCCATGCTTTGCCTACTGCCTGATACTGTATGTGCATTTTAAAACAATACATTAGAACCTGCCCTATAATGTTTTATATAATGTTACAGCACTATAATGTTAGTTGGAAATATTACACATCAAACACCTACTACTCCCTTTGTGGGATAACTCTTTTTGGGGATATTTCGTAATCCTTTTTATGCCCCATTGTCAGAGAAGTCTTTCTTCTTCAATACCTCATATGGAAACTTAAATGCATTTCTTTCTTTAGAATGGCTAGTGAAAGAGGCCCGAATTGGTCACAGTATTCTACTGTTATGTATTCTGTATATACTCTTCCTGTCCCCACTTTGTATTTTTTTAAGATTGTGATTGAGTCTGAAGGACATAAAAAGCTCAGCTAAATTTAAAATTCTTTGCTGCAGGCTTTCAATTATCTGGGTATTCAAAAATATCTGGGAAAAAAAAATCAGTGGACTGTTTCTGTTTTAATGAAGATCCTTGGTATGCTAAAATCAGTCTTCTTTCATCTTATTGTGTTGAATTCAACTTGTGACTATTGCTAAGTCCACTGTCTTGGTACTGTTTAAAAACAAAACAAAACAAAACAAAACAATACTCCCTGACCTTGAGCTGTACTGCCTGTAAGGTGTTTATTGGCAAGCAACCAGCTGAGCAGCTGAGCTTAACACAGCATGTATGTGCTAAAGACTGCCTTGTGCCTTACACGTACTATGCTGTGGAGTCCTCACAACACAATGAGGTAGGTATTATTATTATCCCTATTTTTTCAAATGAGGAAGTGAAGAAGTTAACTAGCTTGCCCAGGGATCGCCAAGAAAAATGGTGGAGCTTAGTTTTTTAAGCCAGATGGCCTCGACTGGAGATTGAGCTCCTAACCACATGGCCCGACTTGCCTCAGGACCACAGGTGAGAAACCACCTTCCCATCCCCATAAAAACTAGAAAACAATACCAGGTATTAAAGAATAAGGTCACTGTAGAATCAGGGTGGCACCAGAAGGCTTCTGGGACAAGATTTTGAACAAGGTATCAAAGCAGGGTGGGATTTAACTGGCAGAGCAGAGAATGGGGGCATCAAGACAAGAATGCCTGTGGCTTGCTGAGTTGGGAAAAAACACAGCTAATAGATAAGGCTAATAGATAAGGTTGGGTAATTTTTATCGAATCTTATCTACTTCGGTCCCCTCATTTCTTCCTGGTTTTCCTTAAGAATAAAACAAAATGCAGATACCTACTCTAACATAATGCAGCACCCAGATATGCATAAAATAGAAACACCAATATATACAATTAAGTTAAATAATACAATTATGAGCTACTGACTGAGGTCTTATTTTCCTTCCTTGGTGTACTACTATAGCCTCATCATTTTTATATTTGAAAATCTTTTTCGAATTAAAATAAAACTATTTGAGCCTGGCTGGTGTGGCTCAGTGGACTGAGTACCAGCCTGCTGACCAAAGGACACCCGTTCGATTCCTGGTTGCGGCACATGCCTGGGATGCAGGCCAGGTCCCCATTTAGGGGTGTGCAAGGGGCAGTCGATCTGTTTTTCTCACCCATTGATGTTTCTCTCCCTTCCTCCCTCCTTTCCCCTCTCTCTAAAAATAAGTAAAATCTTCAAACTGTTTGAATAGCGTTAAATGTTATTCCTTAATTAAATGAGAGGATTCTCCCACCTTTTCCCAACCTTGCTATTGAATTCTGGAAGTCATTAATAAATACATGGCAAAGACGTTATAGTACAGAAGTCCAAACTTGCTAATGGGCTGGGCTCCAGACTTCACTGTAAATTAGTTGTTTGGAACCTGGAATTTATTTTCCCATGGAAATAGTGGTTAAGTTCCCAGAGGGCCCACAAAGGCTTGCTTAACCAGGAATGTGACAGAAATGAACAATGTCACCTTTGTGTTGAACTCTGCCTATTATTCTGAGGACTCTATGGATTTCTCTTCTTACAACCACCCCTTCTGGGATATTTTTTCCATTATAAATTATAGAAAAAGCTATCACTTATAAGTCTACCCAAATCCAATCTTTAATATCACATTAGGGCATTTCTTTTACTAATCATTACTTAGAACATGATTTCAGTGGGAAAGTTGTTTTCCTTAGCCTAAGGATAGGAGTCACCAGAATGGTCCAAGGATGCTTATAGCCTAGGCTGCAACAGTGAGAAGGCAGTGAAATGGTACCAGGGACATGTGTTGCCCCTGCTGCTGCCAGTGACCATCTGGTTCCCGGAGGGTCATTTTCTGGCCTGTGATTAAAAAAAAACAAAAACAAAAAACAAAAAAACAACAAAAAAAACTTTCTTGGTTTCTAACTTGGCATCAGGTAGTAAATAGTTCCTAGGTCTCAGGGCCCTGGATTAGGTGTTAGAATTTGGGAGGTTACCCAATCATGTGTTTTGACTATAACTGAATCTATATTACAGAAATTTCACACAAATTATCTAAAGGTATGAAGTGGGTATCTGCCAAATACAACGCTTGTCTCAGAAACATTTCCTTGCAGGGCATGGTAACCACAATAAAACCAAAATCTGTTTCAGGTAGAAACATTACCAACAAATGTTTCCAAAACAAAAATGCTTGAAGTGAAAATAATTTGTGTCTATGGCCATCAAAATAGTGTGGTTTTAAAAACTTTAGCCTCCGTACACATTCCCTTCTATTTTTTCACCTCCTTCAGAGTTTTTTACACTAGCTAGGGACTCTTGGTATGACTTTAGAGCCTGCCTTTAGAAATGTTAGAGAAAACATTTGTATGACGAGGGAAGGTTTATATTCACAACCCTAGTCTTGTACCCGCCCCTCCCCCCCAAATCCCACTAAATTTGTATAACCATGTTTGCTGTGTCTATTTAAACACTTGGTGATTCTGTCAGCAAATATTTGCCAATAAAGGCAGTGCATTTCAACCAAAAAATGTACTAATTATTTTGTGTTCCTTAAAACACTGTACAGACTTAGGTAGTACACTTCACAAAGGGGAAGCAAGCCACTGGCTGCCACTAGTGAATGAAGAAGGCTCCAACTGCTGGGTACTCAAAGTTTGTTTTTGGCAGAGTATATGGCAGGAACTTAGCATTTCCAGATGTAGAGCATAGAGCTGTGGCAGGCAACCTGGAAAGTCGAGAGCAGGAGGAGGATTTGGAATCCTACTGGAAAGCTTTAGGTCCAAGTAGGTCTATACTCCTTGAAAAGTGAAGACAGTTATCCTAACTGTGTTTAAAAGGATGAAGAAAGGGAAAGGAGGAAAGAAAAATACTTTTTAGAGCTCTTGGGGGAATTAAATGAGCGCACATGCACAGAAGTATCCAGCAAGGTTACAAACATGCATTAAGCTGCTCAATAATGTTAACCAAATTTGAGTACTGGGAATTTTATTGGGCAAACATAGGGTTATTTAAGCTTAATTATGTCAGTAGTTTTGTTAGCACCTGCAGCTTCGAGGAATTAAAGAGACATAGCACCTGAATTAAGTTCAATTATCAACTGAAATAAATATTGATCAATCAAATTCACTGATATTGCAAATAAAGTGGGATTTCTTTCTTGGTTGGGCTAGAATTTCCCAAGTCTGGACTACTTAGCTCAGGTGGTGGATAAACCTCATGGATTACAGCTATGTACAAGTGAAGCTTTATAAAGAGGAGGACATTGAAAAGCTAAGATTATCTACCGTATTCCTATCCCCAGATACACATCATGCAAACAAGTTTATTGGTCACCAGAGTCAGTTTAAAGCAATCACATCTTACTTTCTTAAAAATTCGAAGCATATCTATAAAGTCATGTCATACATAGGAAACAAGTTGTTGAAAAACACGTTTTTCAAGTCCACTAGAGTTCTCCATTAAGAGGAGTAATTTCCTTGTTATGACCAATGTGTTTGATCTCCAAATGTTTAAGAAAAAATGTGACTAGAACATAACTTCCCAACTCAAGTTTCCAAAATGAAAAAAATCAATTAATTTTAATTACTTTACATTTTTCTACCAGAGAAAGAAAAATAATCCCAAAAGAAAACCTAGGCTATTCGGGTACTGTATTCAAATTTACATTATAAAGATGGGGGTCAGCATGAAACAGATGATAGGATACATGCATTATCTGAACTCAGTTATGCATTATCCGAACTTACTTTAATATTCTAAATTTGTAAGCTCAAAAAATAAACATTTTGAAGTAGAGTCGGTTATTTTTAAATGCTTTGTAATAAATTTTACATAAAAGAAACTCAAGGCAGTAATAGTACAGATTAATTCCCATCAGATTAGCCAACATGTGTCAGAAAAACTAACTATAAGATTCATCATTCTCTGTAGAACAAACAAAAAGATTCTCTGGCTATTTTCTAGTATTGTTCTCTTTCTCACAAAAATAGAAAAATATCTCTGCAATTTTCTCTAGGCCAGTAAGAAGACTTCTGTGGGAATTGCTTTAAGTGGGCAGCACCTTTCTCTCACCCCTGCGCTACCTCAGCACTGGGTAACTTTGATTCTGTTTATCTCCTAAGGTTTGCTAATTAAAAAACATTGATGACATCTATTGTAACATATTAAAAGTAATTTATACAGGCTGGCAGCACACTGGAAGTTCTGAACAGACATTTCAACTCTAACAAAAAGACATCTCTCAATTTTGTGACACAACAGGAAGTGGACAGTAACATGTGTAATGTACCAAAGGTTTAAACCTTTAAAAAGTCTAAGTAAATTTAAAAAGTGAAATGTCTGGATATAATGAATTCCTAATAAGCCATTTTAATTAAAATCTAAAGCTGTTCTTAAAATATATTTCCAGCATTACAGTAACCTTTCTTCATGGGCAGACCATAACAGAATTAGGGAATTAGTGTTATTCCCAGAAACGTGGTCAGTTGTACTTAAGTTGTATTTAACCCCTCAGTGATCTCTGCCTTTATTTGCACTGTGAAAAATAAACAGTTATAGCATGCCTTTCTGGACAGTCAATAGGTTTTATTTATACTGCTTTGAGAAAAGGAGACAAAAGACATCCTTTACAATTGTCTTTCAGCAATCTCAGTTGTGAGGGGAATATTTAACACAACATTTTATATATAAGGAAAACATATCTATATGTACAAAAACATATAACTAAATAGATAGACAAAGACAAAGTGGCTATGAAGTCTGTTTAAGTACAAATTTATAACCTGACCACCAGACACAGAACTTACATCTGTAACGGAGAAAAATCATTAGAAGCCTGAAAAAAAAATTAAAATACCACCGTCACTAACATGGAAAAAACAGAAAACAGAAAACAATAATCACCGGAAAACCTGGGTCTTGTAAAGATTTCTTTCCATCAGAAGATGCAGAAACATTTTTCCCCCTGGTGCAAATGAAAACGTTTCTCAAGCACCCCCAGTTTCTTCCCTGCTTTCTCCCCCAGGCGCTGCTGTAGACGGCCGGTGTGGACTTTTTTCCAGAGATGAGAAGTAGAAATTTGTACTTTGTCGGGAGCGGGTGCACTTTTCCCCCTGGCCCCCCTTTCCTCTGCCTCCAAGATGGTAGGAAAGTTGTCGTTTCGGAGGGCAGAGGAGCGGCTCTCTGGTGTTATGTCCTCGCAGTGCCTGTAGTGGTGCTGTAGGAGGCTGCTGCCTCTTCTTGTGCAGCCCCGGCAGCCCTGCCTTCTTGGCTGGAGAGTATATTCAGGGATTTCCCCTTAATAATCACCGACCCTGGGAGCACTTTTTAGTTTCCAAAATAAAAATATGATCCTCACCCCTCTTGCTTGACAGGGAAAGGCTCTTGCCGGAGCCTAGTGGGGAGCAGTAGCAGCGGCAGCCGAGCTTCCTAGTCCATTGCCAGCGCCTCTCTGATCTGTCAGCCCAGCCGAGGGAAAAGGGGGGAAGGAGGAAAAAAAAAAAAAGCAGCTGAAAGGTAAGCAGAGGCGGCCCCAGGCCCGGCCCACATCCCCGGGCTCCCGTAGGGCGGCGGGCTGGGCCGCGCAGGCAGGGCGGGCGGCGAGCGCGCTTACGTGAGGCCGGGGATTCGCCGGCCTGCGCCAGGCCCCGGACACAGAATGGAAGGGTGAGAGGGGTCGGCACCGGGGTGGCGGGGGCTGGGGACCTGGGGACCTCGGGGGCGCCCGCGGGCAGCGACGGCAGGCGGGCGGACCAGGTTCCAGCCGGGGCCGGAGCAGGGCGAGCGGCGCGGCCTACGCGGGCCGGGGTGGGGGTGTGGGGCGGGGTGGGGGGTGCCGGTTAGGCCTAGGGCGGTGGGCCCCGTGGCGACCGCACCCTACCCCTTCACCAGGGCCTCCCCACGTCCCTTCGGGTCCCGCGGGGCCTCCGGGCGGTAGGGCGGCGCAGCGGGCCGAATCCTGTGCTGGCCAGGAGGTTTCCCCGCGGGGCGGCAGGCCCGGGTTTCCGGGACAGGGGCGTCGGGGCCTAGGAGTGGGGAACGGGTGCCCACCCCCGGGTGTCCACCCACCCCTTCCCCCCGGTCTCCCTCAAACGCCCCTCCCCCATTCCGGTAATAGTTAAATTTATTTATCCCCCTCCTCCGCGCTCTGGGCGGCCTGGCCGGGGCGGGGCAGGCGGCCAGGCAGGCGTGGGGTGGGGTGGTGGGGCGGTGAGGAGTCAGGTGCAGCCGCGGCCCGGAAAGTTTCCTTTTAGGCCTGAATGGGGGGGCTGCCCTCCTTTCGGGGAGCCCTGGTCCTAGCGCTCGCGACCCCCGAGGGCGTGGGGGAGAGCACTCGGCTATTTTGAAACTCTTTGCCAGTTCCTGTCCGTTGAAGGTACTCCGCCCCTGCACCCCTCGCCCGCGCCCCACCCCACTCCCCGGCGAGCCCTTCCCGGGCTGCGAACTCAACCCATTCCCCAGGCGCCCCTGGGCTGGGGAGAGGGCCTTCTCTTCCCGTGTGGAAAAGTTTTCCAGGGATTTATCTTAGCGTATTAGTTGGTGACTGGGCTTTTTGCGATAAGAAGGGAAGAGGTAAATTCAGGTGGTATTTCTCTCGGTGCTGGCTTTCCTCGTCGCCTTTTTAGCCCTTAGCCCGGACACAGGGGGTGTTCTTTTCAGATCAAGACACCCCCACCCCCGTCCTTTCATTCTGACTTTTTGGGTCTCAGCCCCTTTTCCTGGACAGCCCCTTGCAGTAGGGAATAGGGAGCGGTGAGGACTGTCAGTGAGCGGGGGCTGGGTTTCTGGGGCGGCCCCCACATGCAGGAGTTTCCCGTCCTCTTGGGTCACTGTCCGGTGAAACCAACACGTGAACAGAGCCCAAGGGAGGGGGGACCCCGGTTGTCAGCACGCTTGGAAGCATTAAAAATTAGGAGGTGGGCAGGGCAGCTCGTGAACGGTTTTAAGACTCCGTAGTGGATTTATTCTGATAATAACTATTTCCATTTATGTGAATATCTTATATTCGACCCCAGCAATAGAAAAATGGGGGTTTTAAGGAAATGTGTTATTGCTGCAACTCAGAAGGGTGTGTAAAGAGCCCTCGGGACTGAACAGAGCTGACACCGTGTATGGGTTGGGTTTTTTTTTCCCCCTGTGTTTAAATGGGGTCAGTTTTAGCTATATTTTGAAGCCACTAGCTTTAGAAGTTTTTTTGTTTGTTTGTTTTTAAGTTGAAAACTTAAAATTTCTAAATCTAGATGCCCTGGTTTTCAGCGGTGGGATGTTTCCTGTGGCTACACTTAACCTCCTTCTGGTTGTTCTTTAGTATGGAAGTTGGAATGTTAATGTACCCTGCCCCCACCACCAGCCTCCGGTATGGGCAAGTTTGGAGAGGTTATTTTTCGTTCTTTTCCTCCCTTCCCTTTTTAGTGGACCTAGGACAGGATATTGTGTGTGTGTGTCTGTGTGTGTGTCCTGCCTAGAGGCAGGCTGGAGTCGGCTGGCAGAGGTGTTCTCTTTCTGCCCACTCTGCCCCCAGAGCACGGTTACCCAGTGAAAAGCGGGCACTTGCAGAGCATGGGTAGCCCATGATTTGGTCAGTGCTGGCTTCTGTCGGGCACGGGAGTGAGACTCTCTGAGATTCTTACTGTGTGCCTTTTACTTTTGTCTGCCTAAAAGAAAACTTCTGGGGTTTTTTTCATAGTGATAGATATCCAGCCATTTAGCATTGTTCTTAAGAAAAGCATGATATTTAAGATCATATGGGTTTCAGACAAAAATACAAATTACACTAATGGTTGTTTAAATTTATTGATTAATTGAAATTGCTTATTGACTTGGACGTTTTTATATACTTGTGTATCCAAAGATGTTACTTCTATCGTGGTTTGTCATTTTTAGAGAATATTGGTTGGAAGAAATTTGATGAGTCTCTTTTCTTAGAACATTTTAAGGTTAAAAAAAATCTCTTTGCCTCATAATTTGATATTTTAAAGATGTAGCTTTAATTTCACATTCCTAAGCTTTGAAAAACTTTATGTACAAATCCCTAAAGTTTTGTATTAATTTCATAATCTAAATGCCTCAAGGGCTACTTTATTACCTGAAGGATGGTGGGTTTTGTTATTTATTTATTTGAAACTAGTAAAAGACTTCGGGGCAAATATGAATTAATTTTAAAGTGCTAAGGTAAGATACTTTTTGACTCTTAAATATTGTTTCAAAGATATATATTTATTTTGACTTGTAAGTCTGAAATTATCAATTTTTCTTCTGAAAGGTTGTAGAAGGAAATTTGTATACTCTACCCCAACTATTTTTCTCAGCAAATCATCACTGCTATTTTTAGAGAAATGAAATTTTGGTTTAGATAGACTTCAAAATTTCTAAGTGAGAACACCCAGAATTAAACAAGTCACTTTAAAAAAAATGCTGATCCATTCATTCTTACCTGAGATGTTCCCCCAGGGTTAGCAGCTCTCACTATCCAGGTTTGGAACAATAGTTACGGATAATGAGGGGTCATTTATATCTGAATACAGTTATCAGTATTCTCTGGACACGTAACCCAGTGTCTCCTCACACACTTGGTAAATTGTAAGCAAGGGGTGGATAGGTGAGAGCCGGTTGGAGGCAGCAAGTTTTCTCCAGAGCGGATACTCCACTGCTTATACCGTGTAGTCACATCCAGGCCCATTTAATTTATGCTAATGTAACTCTGTCCCAGAGCCCTGACTTCAGTAATGCTGATTTTAGACAATACTTGTGGCTATTTTGAGACACTTGCAAAAATACTCTCCCCTCAAGCTTAAAGGTAAAACCTAGAGCCTCTCCCCCCCACCCCCGCCTTTCCTTGCACTTAAGATGCCAGGCTGCTTGGTTCACATTCTTCTTAAGACAGTTTTTCAGTTAAATTTTATTCGTTAGCATGAGATCCTGTAGTCAGACACATTTGGACTGGGCTTTGGGTTCTCATCCCAGCTCTTCCACTGGATGGATTTGGTTTCTTTGCCTGTAAAATGGAAAATAGCACTTTTTGATGTAAGGATTAGATGAGATAGCCCTTGTGCTTGGCTCTTAGTTGGTGCTTCTTAAATATTATTTCCCATAGCCCACCTGACCTTTCTATTCACACCATCTATATACCATTTCTTATCATTGTTTGCTTTTTTCCTAACTAAAAGTAATACATTCTCATATCCATTCCACTCAGACTTGTTTATCCCAGGAGATAACCACTGTTGATGCTTTGTTGTTGTCTTTCTGTTTTGTGTGACTGTGTGCATACGACATAAGCTTAATCTTAGGATTTTTCCATTTAAAAATGTTGTGGGTTTTCTGTTGGTTAAATCTTGGACTCTGGAGGCAATCTAGCCTTGAATCCTACATATGAGATTTGGGCAAAATACTTTAAGATTATTAGTTTCTTCACCTGTGAAAGAAGGCGATCAGTATACCTTCTTCATAGGGTTGCTCTGATGATTGAGGAGTTTCACAAAAAGCTTTTAGTATGGTACTGGGCGCATGACATTTATTTTTCTCTAAAGATTTCTGATAATTCTCCATGTGAGTTTTTCAGTGTGAATGAGTTCTTGATTCAGTATATACTAATAATACTAGTGCATACTGAGTACAGATAGAATGTTATAATTGCCTTCATGGGGCAAATAAATATTTTTGTACCAGTAAAAAACTAGCGGTGTAAGCATAGAAACTTTCAGTGGCTTGATGATAGTTTAGTATCTATTGTTGAATTCTGAGTTGACAGATGTAAAGGAGTGTTAAGTACATTAATGGTCAATGATGGTGGGTTTACTTCTAGCTCCTTCTTTAAAATGTGTGTGTGTGTGTGTGTGTGTGTGTACAAGCGCGGGGTACCTCACATTGGGAGTGTTGAATGCTTGCCCCGGGTAGGTGGTGGTAGGAGTTGCTGAAGCCAGTGCTGTTTCATTCATTTAACCTGAACTGTGGGCCCTGTAATACAAAGACACATTCTCTGCCCTTGAGGAGTTTTTAGTCTAATGGAGAAGAGAAAAACGCTGGCATTTACAATCTTGAATGATAAGGGATAGATTTGCCTGGAGGCAGGAAAGCTATTTAGTTTGGCTGCCCTGGGGCAAGCCTTAAAATGAGTGCTTTCCAGGGGTGTTTCCGCTCAAAGCTAATGGGAAGAGTTTTAGAAAGGCATTTCTGAAGGTGGGACCAGAAACACAAGAGTATTCTGTGTTGCAAATTGTAGGAGTTGGAGGAGTAGGAATAAATAGTGGGGGAGGGAGAGGTCTGCCTGGCCTGGTCCTAAGGAGTTTCTGTGTTAAGCTAAGGAGTCTGGATTCCTTTTACATTTGTAAGCAGACCCTGAAGGCCTTTGGCCAAATTATTTGCGTTTTAGAGGACTTGAGTTGTACAAAGAGCGGAATAAAGGAGGGCAAGACCAATTAGACCGGTGAGAGAGCTGCTGAGACACGATTAAAGGTTTGAACTAAGGTGGTGGCAATGGGGAAGGAGGTGGCGAGATGTACGGAGGCTGGTTCCAGAGGGAAGCAGCTGCCTAAGGTGGCCGGATGTAGAGTTGGGAATCGTCCTTGTATACATGACCACTGAAGTTGTAGAAGTAGAGAAACTTGGCTTAGTCAGTAGTTCTTAGTCTTTCTTTGAGAATCTGATGAACTTTATGGACCCTTTTCCAGAAAAATGCACTTATTCACATTCACAAGTTTGTACATTTG